GTGTGTGTGTGTGTGTGTGTGTGTGTGTGTGTGTGTGTGTGTGTGTTGTGTGTACTCTATGTATACTCTAATATGTGTACTAAAATAATAATTATAGATATTCGTGTAAAATTTTTTTTTAAATCTACTTGTTTAAAAATCATTAACCTAAAACTGTAAGAAAATAAGATATAAGCCAAATTATTTGTTTTGTTATTTTTTTGCAGTTGGTTTCACGGGTTAATATCGTTAAAATGTTTGAATGATATTGGCTGCAGATATATTAGCTATTTTTGGCTGATTATTTGACTGATACTTTTAACTGATATATTGCAGACAAAGCATCCTTAAGTCACAAGTTTCAGTTTTTCCAAAATAGATGTAGGTTCCGTGTTTCAAAGTTATTGCCAACGCTGGCAATCTATAGTTTAGTTATATAATACGAGTAAATTTGTATAAATTGCTGAATTATCAACGGTAGATTTACTGTGTGTACAACAAAATTAAGGGGATGCGAGGCTCGTTCACACAATCGATCGGTGGCTGTATATATATATATATATACATGACCGACGCACGCACAACTAGTAATGTCGCGACGAAAGCGCACCATACTACTGAACTGCGACATCAGTCATCAGTGATCATGATCAGTGTGGTTCAGTCAGTTCATAACGTCGGGTTACCACTCACGGTTGCCGCAGTTATCATTTGATTGTAACATTAACGTGTATATAATATATGTTATCATTGAGGCTCCCGATTATCGCTATCGTACATATTTCCGAATATAAATCAACAGTAGCAGCAGCAGTAGCAGCAGCAGCAGCAGCGTATCCCTTCGTTGGCTCGCGATCAATACTCTCAATCCGAAACGAACGGATAATGTGCAGCAGTGCAGCGATTGTTGTCTATTGTCTCGTGAATAGTTGAATACTGACTACTGAGCTACTCTCGTGGTGTCTCGAGTTCTCAGACGAATGTTTCATCTGCGATATAAATTTTTCGCATGTATGTTTATTTTTCCGGTGCAAAATAAATATGTATTTATACATTATGTACAAAACGCTGCTCCACATAAATATTATTGTGTCTTGCAAAGAACATTATTATCGGCGGAGATCTCGAGAAACTCGTTGAGAGTGCAGTGATCGCTGAATTATTCTGCAACGTGCTTAAACGCGCGATAGAACAAAACGGCGAAGATGAAGAGACAGAATGTCAGGACTTTGTCATTAGTAGTGTGTACATTTACGTATCTCCTTGTTGGCGCTGCGGTATTTGATGCCCTTGAATCGGACACTGAGAAGAAACGCTGGGAATTTCTTTCGGGTGAGTTTTCTTTATTGCTGTTTGAGTTGATGAATAGTTTTAAGCAAATCGATAATTGATCATTAATTATAATTTTTTCGCTTTTGGTGAAAAATATTATTGCAGAGATACGCCGTAATATGATGAGGAAGTACAATATTACGCCGGAGGACTACAAGATGGTCGAAATTGTAATAATAGAGAACAAGCCACATAAAGCGGGACCGCAGTGGAAATTTGCGGGTGCTTTCTATTTTGCCACTTTAGTATTAGCCATGATTGGTAAGTCATGCTTGTGTTTCTTGATGAAAGAAATTTTCATGATTTCTTATAAGATTCCTTAAGATTTTTTATATTATATTTTAAATTTATGAATATTTCGGAAGAGTTCAATTTTAGATTTTATGAGTTTTCTTCACAAATTGTAAAATACATGAGAAATAGATTATATTACACTATATTAGAAGTATATTCGTATTTCAGAATTATATTTAATATTTATATATAGAAAAGATGGAAACTGTCATTATTTCTGAAAAGTGTTTCAATTCGTAAAAACTCTAAGAAATTTTTTATAAGGTTATGAAATTACTTACAAACATTCTAAAACTTATATGTAAACATTCTGAAAAATTACTTAT